AGTTGTTTAATGAGTGTTTAAATAAATTTTTTATTTATGAGATTTGCTAGTTACCATTTTAATCATAATTTCGATAAGACTGCATAAATGAAAGATTATAATTGGTTAATTAAATATCTAGCTTATATCTAGTAGTTGTCAAATAAATTCTCAATTTATTATTTCTTGAAGTCACGAAACAAGTATCCATTTAATTTAATAGTTTTAATATATTTGTTTGAATAAAATTTATTATTAAGAAATTGTAATTTATATTTATCTAAATTTAGGAGGTTACATTACTTCCAACCAAGCCTTATATAAGCTTTAGTTGATATCCTTCACGTATATTATCCAATACAAGAAGGGTTTTAAAATCATAATATGCGTAATGGAGCCATCGAGCAGCTCGCATGGTAAAGGTAAAAATTTAAGGTGGGATCCATAGATCGTGTGACACCTTGTTAGAAAGTCGTGTGACACCTTGTTAGAAAGGGATTTTAGTCCTCTGTTCAGCAATATAAAGTTTTCGGACGATTTTCACATTTTGGTCCCATTGAAGATATCCTCAAATTAGCTGTCAATTAAGGTTCACAGAACGAAATATTGCGTTGGCAGTGTTGCCATGTTCTTATAATGTATATGTTATACGCTTCAAATACAAAGAGATAAAGCTTTTAAAAGGTACATTTTTATCATATTATTTTATGGATTTTGCAATTTTATACCTTATATAAAATATTAATGAAGTAATATTTGTTTCGTTTGATATTAGTTGTAATAAATTATTAGAAATTTTTTTTGGCAATTGCCCTTTGATAGGTTAACGGATAGATTTGGCAATAGAGTCAGAACCCTCAAACCACCAGCTGCCAGATTGCAACAGATACCGTTTTAAATTTTATTATTTATACTGACATTTTACTATTTACTGTTAAAAACTGTTTTAAAACTATTTACTTTTCTTTTTTTCGTAATCGTTAAATATTAGTTTTTAAATATCTTATTGCTTTTAATTGCGTATGTTTAATTTGTAATGTAAATTTCAACACTGCGAAACACCAATATTTCATTCTGTCAAACCCATTTGAAACTATCTTCAATGGGACCAAATGTGAAAATCGTCCATAACCACAAATTCGTTATTTGATTTTAAATACTAAAGTGAATTATACCATGCGGTCTATATGTATGGAATAAATTCATTTTTAGCTTTATTATGTACTATGTGAAAAAACCTGCGTACTAGTGTAATAAGCCGAAACCATTTTTTACGGAGATGAAATTTATATCAATGAATTCTGCTTCACTTACTTATGATTGTGCAATGACTTTTATGCAGTGCAAGACGTTATCTTTTATGTAATTTCCATTTAAAATATGCCCGATTTTTAAAAGCCACCGCCATAATTCGCCATTATTTACCATGAAACAACAAGAAATGTACAGAAATGACAACTGTTTCTTATGGCCAAAAATGGTAATTTTAACCAGTGTTGCCATAGTTATTCAAAATTATGTTTTCTAATGAAATTGGACATTAAAATAACATTTTATTACTACCTACTTTTAACTGAAAATTATAGCTTTTTTTTTACAAGGGTCAGGTTAGGTTTGGTTACGTTTCTTTACGTTTATTATCATATTTTCTTATGAAAAATAAAAAAATTGATTTTGAATTATATTACAAAATTTTATTCTTATTACTGCTTTTTTACGAGCGTTAGGTTAGGTTAGGTTGGTTTAGTTTTATTGTCATGTTTTCTTATTAGGTTAGATTTGGTTTATTGGTTTGCATTTTTAATAATAAAATGTAAAGAAAAATATGAAATTAAAACTGGCAACAATGACAAATTAATTACTATTTATAACTGGGAATAAGCCACAATTAAAGATAAAAATACGTTTATTGACGTTTCAATAAATTTGATTAATAATAAAATTATTGAGAACGATTTCCGAATTGGAAATTGAAACGTCAATAAACGTATTTTTATCTTTAATTGTGGCTTATTCCCAGTTATAAATAGTAATTAATTTACAATGCCACATAGAAAAATTGATGTTCACTTATTCTAACATTTAATGGCCTTGATGTTTCAACCTAAAATAAAACTGATCGCATTCACAAGGTATTTTTATAAATGCAATTCTTTGTCCTTTCTTGTTCCATTGTTAGGTTTCGTTTTGGACAAAATAGATCACAACGTGTTTGTTGTTTTGAATGTTGTTGAAATGTTGAATTTATTTCCTATCCTTTTAAGTTTTTTCTGATAATCCTTTTATGTACGGTATTGTTATTTTCCCTCGTATTATTCCTTGTGTATGCTGTAGGATCTCGTTCTAAGTTGTTCTGTTCTATTCGATCGATTGTTGAAAATTCCTTATTTACAAACGATATAATACGAGGAAAATAACAATACCGTACATAAAAGGATTATCAGAAAAACTTAAAAGGATTTATAAAAAGCGTTTATAAAAATAATAAAATAATACTATTAAGTGCCAAGTCAAAACTATAAACTAGTATGCTGGAATCACAGAATATCAACTTGGGAATCCCCTGAGCCACCTGATCGCCGCATTATCACTCAGCAGTGAACGATGCTATGGGGGAACCACCTTGTTAAATAATAATAAAAAAATACAATAGAGATATTCAAAAGGAATCTCCATCAGGACCTGTCTTGAATTATTATATTTTTGTTGAGATACCAAAATGAAGAAAAATTTAAATACATATTATTAGTGTAAAATTACAGTCGTTTTAATTATTAAAATAATTTAAAATATATTAATTTAAAAATTTAATGATGAAATTTGTATTTGTAGTTTGTGGAGCTGTAGTTTTCATTATTAGGATAATATCAACAATATAGAAAAAAAATAATCAATAAATAACCATGGTTTAAACCTGCTAACCCTGTACGGATAACCATGGCCACAGCCACCTTTACTTCCAAGCCATGAAGTAGAAATTTGGCAACAACGCGTGGTAGTCCGACTGTGGTTTGTTTTGGTTTAACATTTCATATAGGAAGGCTTGTAAAGTTTGTTGAATTTATTGTTTTTTTAACTTTATTCGAATGTTTTATTTGTAAATTGTGTTTAAATCAATTAGAAAATATTAATATAAGTGAAATTTCATTAAATTTAGAACTTTTAGAAGATTCTTAACAACAATTTAAAAGGCAAGTATAAATATAACCTACAAAACAAACTGAAAATAATAATACTTTTGCTTCTTGTTACAAAATATGTAAACTAAAAACATCAATAATAATACTTTTGTTTTCTGTTACAGATGCTCTGGCATTGTTGTGTACCTGGTTGCAAAACCAATTATGCCAGTACTTTAAAAACGAAACAGACAGAAAGTATGTTTTTGTTTCCCAAAGATCCCCAAAGAAGGTATACTGGGTTATGCTCTATTCATAGAGAAGGCTGTACAATTACCAAATCTTCCGTAGTATGTGCCAAACATTTTCATGAAGATGATATTCAGCGGACTGAACAATGAGAAGATAAAGATGGAAATGTACACATTGAAAAGTTAATATTTCCCAAATTAAAAGGCAATGCAGTTCCTAATATATTTCCTGAAGTACCATCATATGTAACTGTTCATCGTACTAAAGAAAGAAGGAATCCCGAAGACAGAAGAAACTTTTTGCATAAGAAGAGGGAACAAGAGATAACATAATTATGTCAATTAGACTTAGACAATAATATCCCATTGAAAAACTGGACAAGTAAAATTACAAGTGACTGTGTATATTTCTATGTATTAAACATTAATCAGTTGGGACACAAGTGTGATAATATTTGTGTAATATGTAGTGTAATAGTTAGCAGTAATTTTAGTGTAATCGTCAATGTAGGTAAGAATAGATTAAGTGGTAATGATTTGAAATGGATTTTACAATATAGTAAATTAACAAGATGGTCACAATTAGAGAACTTACTTTCTCATTTAGATCTGCTTTTTAGATAAGTGATAACAAATTTGAGTATTACATTCAAAAATCTTTTGAGAATATAGGCTATTTTAAATCGATATACAAGTTATAAATGGTATGTTACATTCAACACATTTTTCATGTATACCTCTTTTAACTTGGTCTATATGACAACAAACCTATTCATATTTAAAATTGCTACTTTTGTATATCTAAGTATGAAAATTCAACAAAAGTTATAAGTAAATAGTAGTAAAATATTTAATTATTCAATTAGATTAATTTAGAACCATATTTATATTGTGTCTGATTTCTTAGGATGAATTTTTTAATCATAATAGTTACACTAAGTTTTTACTTAGCACAAATTTTATATCTTTTGTATTTTTAATAATCTTTTTAAATGTCGTGTTAATGTATTGTGTTATTTATATGCTTAAGTACTTAATATTTAAAATTTCTAGAGATTCTTGACTGCATTTGATTGTAAGATTAACTGTTTGACACTGTATTTTAAGTGCAATAAATTTTACTCTAGTGATTATTTTATTGATAATATAACCTAAATAATAATAAAACTTTATATATATTTACTAGGTATATATAAGGTTTTATTAATTTAATTTCCCTAAAAATATTTCTGTAATGAATTGAAGTTTTTCAAAATATCAGTTTCCTAAAATTCAAATTAGTTTAATTTTCTGGTAGACCTTACAGCTGATTATCGGACTACCGACGTCATAGAATGCGGTGTTGCCTTTTTTACTTCATGGCTTGGAAGTAAAGGTGGCTGTGCCACGGCTTACAGCCCGTGGAAACCAATGCCTCAGTCTTTTGCAGCCTCGATTACCTTATCCTTGAGATAGATCCAAGTGCTGTAAGGGTCTCTATCTACTTGGTTTAAAGAAAGAGGTTCTTCTAGCACTCATTAAATGTATATAAATCTAAATGGAAATGTCCACTTGACAGCGGTTTATTCATCTTCATACCAAATGAAGCGTAGTAAAACTATCTGCTTTGGTCAGTCAAAATGTGTAAAATAGTAATATTAACTTGTTTCAGGTGGATCCCCAGTTCGACCATAGGGACAAAAATGGAAAAGACTTTGAGTACTTTGAGGAACAAATTTATTTCCTTAAGGCGGAAAATGAAGCATTACAGAAAAGCCTGGAAAGGCTTGAAGAAGAAAAGAAAGTAAACGATTATCAGAAGCTAAAATCGGATAGAGCATTAACAGATAAAATAAAACATTTGGAAGATAACCTACAAGAAGTGAACAAAAATTATTCCAAGCTTAAACTAGAGTGCGATGAAAAAGAAAAACAATTGTCAGAACTTAGAAATAAGTTTGATTTTGAGCTGGTGTACAAAAAATTAGAAATTGAATATAGCAAAAAAGTTGAAGAGGTAGACAAACTTCAAGAGGCACTCGAGAATGCTCAAACCAATCTAAAGAATGCCAGGAATTCCAAGCTTGAAGAGCTTGAAAAAACTGTAGCAAAGTATAAAATCGAACTTTTACATGCCAAAGACAAACTCAAACAGAGCGAATTAGCAAAAGAACAGGCTTACGATGACAGTATTAAATTGAAGTTGCAAGAGTCGCGAAATACAATAGACGCGCTTAAGTTGGATTTGGATCATAAAATCAAACAAATCAATCAGCTAAAAGATGTTATCAAAAGTGAAGAGGAGACAAAAAATAAACTCTTGCAAGATAATACAGAGCTCGGAAACAGTCTAGAGCTCGTACGACAAGATTATAAAAGTTTATTTTTAGAGATGAGTAATAAAGAAAAAGAGTTACACGCAGAATGTGGGAAAATGCTTAGAAAATACACCGAAGAAATGTCCAAAAATACTGAATTATCTAGTCAGCTAGCAATACAAAAAGAAGAAAGTTCTAATCTTAGAATATTAAATAATAAAATAAATTCAAAATACGAAACTGTATTTAACAAAAATTTGAAAATAATAAATCAACTTTCCCCTCTTAAAGATAAAATTGGTAGGATTCAGAAGATTCAAACGTCTTATAAAAGTGATATTAAAATGCAACTAGATGAATACGAAAAATCTCTACAATTTTTACGTTCAAAGGTAAAAGATCTGGAATGCGAAAATATCATGCTCAAAGAATTGCATTCAAAGTTATCCCAAGTTGTCGAGTATAAAGATAGCACAGAATCAGACCAAGAAAAAGGTAAACAGTTATTTGATGTGGACACATCATCCGAATCTAGTGTATCATTAAACAATGATAAAACTTACTCTTCTCTAAAACACCGTAGTTTCGAAAAGCAAAAACTAACCATAGAAAGATTACGTGAAGAGCTTCATATCGAGAAAGCAAAACATGATATGCTTAAGGAGAGAATGCACATCCAAGTAGAAGCATTAGAAAAGGAAAAACATACCTTGCAAACTGTGATAAATGACCTTAAAGTAAAGCTGCAAGATCAAGGTGAACACTATAAACATTTATGTGATGCTTCCAACAGAAAAATTAAAGATCTGTCGGTGAATCTGTCGCGTTTAGAAGAGCAATATAAAAACGCAGTCTCGAATCTTACTGAAAAAGAATCCCTTATCAAACGACATTTCGAAGCACAAGAAAACAATAAAGCTGTGATACAAAAACTAGAACATGACTTTAAAAATTGCCAAAATATTCAAAACAGCCTGTCGCAGATCTAGCTGCCAAGGAAGCCAGTATTACCAATATCTCGGTCGAGAACCAAAATCTCAAAAAGTTTGCCAGAAGTTCCGAAAACACAAGACTAGAGTTAGCCGCCAAACTGTCACAACAAGAATCCACCTTGAAAACCTACAAGGCTGATCTTGCCAATAAAGACAAGGCATTGGCAGAATTATCATCGGTTCTGTTGGACAGAGATACCAAGATCGAAAGCCTGTCCTCGGCTGTCCATGCATACGAAATTAAAATGTCTAATATATTATTGGAAATAGCGGAAAAAAATGAGGCTAACTTAAAGTTAGAAGAGGAACTTCAAGTTGTTAGGGTAAGTAAAATTTATAATTATTAATTGTGTTAGTTGATAATTAATTAGACATATAAACCTTTAAAAATAATGAATTATTAAAGCTTATAATGAATTACAAACTTCTAGTGTAGTTGGTATATTTGTAAAATTAAAATTTCTTCTTCTTCTTCAGATTTACCGTTTCTCGTGTATTACCTATTAGTAACTTTGGTTTTTCAAATTCATCAGATCTGTATATTCAGTCATTATTGGAATCTCCTATGCAATACTAGTTCAACAATATGTTACACTTATGATTTTATGTAGCCTGGAAAGTCTAAAATACATCAACAGTGCAAAATATGTAGATTTTAATAAATTTAAATATTTAAATGTAGATTTCTGTGATTTTGACATTGGTTCACCATTTACATTATTAACTAAAACGGACAGTAGTTGTGTTTCGAAAAGTTCTGCAAGATAAATTGCTTCTCTTTAATGGCTCTTAACGAAAAAGAACGAATTACTATTCTAATGATGAGAGGGTACGATGACAGAAAAAGATCTTATTGTGAAGTAGCCAACTTGTTCAATCATACTTTCCCAAACCGTTTTATTCATAACGTAAAAAACTGTAAAGTGTTTTGAGGAATCTGGAAAAGTAAAAGATAGATACCGATCAGCTAGACCGAAAAGAGTTATGAATGACAACAAAAGTTTAGTAATAATGCAAAGTTTCGTTGAAGATCCACATACATCCTCACGCAAGATCACACTAATACATGATGTAGGTCGTTCTTCTGTATTACGTAAGAATAAATTTAAACCATAAAAAATTAACTTATGGCAAGCGTTAAGTGAGGATGACGTCGATGGTAGATTAGAATTTTCTGAGGTAATGATGGATAAAATTGAAAATAATGAAAATTTCGTTAACAGAATATGTTTTCCCGATGAATCAACCTTTACACTGTGTGGAAGTGTAAATCGACACAATTTAAGGTGCTAGAGTGACGTAAATCCATACTGGATACGTGAAAATCATACTCAAAGACCGCAAAAATTAAATGTATGGTCAGGTATAGTAGGTACTCAGTTAATTGGGCCATTTTTATCAAGAAAATTTAACGTCAGATAGTTACGAAATGTTGCTTAGAAATTGAATTTGTACCTACACTGAGTACATTTTGGTGTAAATGTTCGGCGTTATTTAGATGAGATATTTCCCGGAGGATGGATTGATAGACGACGTAGAATTGAATGGCCTCCACGTTCGCCTGATTTCACTCCTAAAGATTATTTTTATTGGGGATACTTAAAAAGTTCAGTTTAGAAAACTAAACTAGCAAGTTTTGCAGAGCTAAGGCAACGAATTATCGTTGAATCTCAAATAATTTCTAGACAATCATGGAGAAATGTGGTATACTCAGTTTCATCGTTGTTGGCGTGTGCCTGAAATAAGCTACTACGGAATTTTTAATATTCGTCTCTCTCTGATACACAGATGCGTAATTCAATTGTGCGAGTCACGTTCGTCATGGTAAAGTGCGATGAGAAGGGAATAAGACACTTACGTCTCCCAGTATTGTAGCAATAACACCGATGCGTTTGCCGATACGGTGTCGGTGATAAGTTCGGCCTCTTTACGAATACAGATAGCTGCCACTGGAGGAGGTAAACGAATCGAGCTTAGACAAGGAAAGACAGATGAAACAACTTATTGCAAGTGTTTTTACACGCACACGCTAAGAACTATGAAAACGTCTATAGACGCATTCAACCATCGATTAGGGTACTGTAAACTCACAAATGGAGCACATTTTGAACACTTGATAAAGTAACAATTATATTTAAAAATGTTGGTAATCTATCAATTGCTACGTTTTAATGTAATTAAAAATGTGTTGAGACAATTAGGCGTTGCCAGACTTCTATTTGATGTATTTAAGACCTTCCAGACTACATAAAATCATAAGTGTTACATATGGTTGAACTCGTATCGAATAGGAGATTCCAATAATGGCTAAATATACAGGGTGATGAATTTGAAAAACCAAAGTTACTAATAATAAAAGAGAAACTGCAAATCTAGCAACATTGCAAATATCAAATATGGAATCTCCGTATCCCAAAATAGGTGTACCTCAAATTTAGTAAAATTATGACTAGCAATTTACGAGATAATTAGCCGTTTTCAGACTTTTGGGCCACTCTGTATTTCTTTCACCAAGAACTTCTTTGACCAAGCTTTCTTCGACTTCATCACTTTCTGTGATATATGTGTTTCTGCTTTTTTCGGTTATTCTTTGTTGGAATAGGTATCATCTTGTAAGCTATCGACTTTTATCTTTGTGCTGTATTTATATAAGTATAAAATTTAAATATAAAAAGGAAATTCGCAGTGGTTGGTTGTATATCATAGTTTAAAAAAACTTAAAATGAAGTAAAAACTTCTTTTTGTATAATGGTATAAAATTTTATTATTAAAATTTTGTTAAAAATTGTCTAAAATGGATTTAAAAATTAATTGCTCTTACTGGTTCTCGAACTCAGTTGGCAGGTAACTTTTGTTAGACCTACTCTTCGTCGCCTTTTACCTTTTAATCATCGACATTACACCGTTTTAATTCTAATTTTTACAACATTTAAAATATACCTAAATTCAAAAGTTTTTATACCTTTTGAGTAGGGTGTCTATTTGCAATTGTATGTAAAGTGTCTATTTGCAATTGTTCAAGTAATCATGCCACATGTTTTTTAGAATAACAGTAAAAAATTTTACCCTTTTTAGTTCATTAAGTGGGATTACTTACTTTCAGGTTCCACTGATGATGGAATGTAATGAAAATTGTATTCATTTTTGTATTCGTGTTTTCATTATTTTAGTAATTTTACAAATATACCAATTACACTGCACTTTCACGCAAGTTTTTTTAAACTGTGGTGTAAAAAAAATTAAATAAAATTTTAAATATTTAAACGAAAATTTTAGATTTTTACGAGAACTAAATAAAATAAATTTCCTTTAGAAATTATGGTAAATTTCCATGTTTTGTGCTATAAGAGAAGTTAATGTTTTAATATTGTAGGATAATTTAGCCAAGACCGAGAGCATGCTGGAAACTACTCTAGTAAGTTCTGAACAAAAATCCAAAACTGAATTTGAGGAACTAAATGGTAGTACCAAAAATGAAAACACACTGGAGACTATTTCTAGCTTTACTGACATTATTACAGATTGTTGCCAAGAGTTACACAGGTAAGTTTTGTGAGAAAATTACAGACCATTTACAGAAATGCATTTTAGCGCTCCACAAAATTATCCGAATACTTTGGAGGAGCTGTACAAACATGGTACACGATAATAAATTCAATGAATTTTAATAGACATATTTTATGTTAAATTATTGAAGAGATTATTAAATATATTTTATGTATCAAAAAACTCCTGTCACGGCGTGATAGGATGTCCGGCGATTCCTATCACAGTTTTGTACAGTTATTTGATAATTTTAGATTTTTCTCGCGTTATTTCAAGTTTTTCTAGACATTCTCATATGATATCTCGAATAACTATGTCAAACGCAACTTTCAAGTGTATAAATTCCAGGATTACTTCTTTTTTGATTTTTGGTTTACGTTATATGTTTTTTAAATACCAAACTTTCTGAATTATTGATGAATTGGACGTTACTTGATGGAAATTCATTTTATGTAACAATAAAACACTGAAAACTTTGTTTTCAAACTTCCACAAAATTTATTTTAAATCTTGTCACTACAGCTGTTTCGGCTGATTGCCTTTCTCAAGTGATCTGTTTTTGGCTTGGTGTTTACAAATTTATAGTCTCTAATGAAATTAGGATTGAGAAGAAATATAGAGAGACCTTTACTTTTGAATGTGAAGAATTTTAAATTTGTCATTAAAAGAATGATTATGATCTAGAAGGTGAAGTGGCGTATGTCGAATCTGTTTTTCTATTCTTGAAAGCCCTTTTATGTTCTGCTATTGATTTATCAAAGTTTCTACCAGTTTGACCGATGTAAGTTTTTGGGCAGTGGCCACATTGGAGCAATTTCAATTAAAAATAAATCAATAGAAAACAACATTGTGTTTACAAAAGCAGACAAAGGTAACACTACTATTGCTATAGATAAAATAGAATATAATAACAAAACAATAGAATTTTTAAATAATCAAAATATTGAAACTTTACACAAAGATCCGACAGAAAAATATCAAAAACAAATTAAGCTAGCGTTAGAAAATTCAAAATCAATACTAAATCCAATAGAACAGAAATACCTCAATATCATGAACCCACAGCCTCCTAAATTATACTCTTTCATTAAACTACACAAACCGGATCACCCAATAAGACCTGTAGTTTCTTTTTATACAGCTCCGTCTTTCAAAAAAACTGTTAGAGATTATTTTAGAACACACTAAATTTTCACCTAAATTTACCATAAAAAAATACAATAGAACTAGTTAATAAAATACAACATTTTCAATTACCTAACAACTCCAGATTAATTTCATTTGACGTAAAAAATCTTTTTCCTAGTATCCCTCTACAGAAACTTTTATTCTAGTAAAAAACCTTTTAGACCAAAATAGTACAAATCCAATAATTACATCAGAAATTTTACATCTTCTTCAAGTTTGCATAAACCAGGACTACTTTGAATTTAATAATAAAATATATACAAATAACAGTGCAGGACTTATAATGGGTAATCCTCTAAGCCCATTGCTATCAGATATTTTTATGGATCATCTAGAGACAAAGATTTCAAAACATCCCGTATTTAAACAGTTTTTATATTGGTGGAGATACGTAGACGACGTACTGGTATGTTTCACAGGAACTAACAGGCAACTCGACCAATTTTTATCGTATATTAATTCACTTCATAGTCATATTGAATTTACAATAGAAACAGAACAAAATCAATCCATAAATTTTTTAGATTTAAAAATTAGCAGACTTCAAAACAAACATGATTTCTCCATATTTCATAAACCTACCCATACTGACACGACTATACACAATTCATCATCCCATCCAACACAACAAAACTGGCAGCTTATCATAGTATGTTACATAGATTAATAGAAATTCCGATGTCAAAATACAACTTTGAGACAGAATTAAATATAATTAAGCAAATAGCAGTAAACAACGGATACAACGAACAAACAATTAATAAAATGTTAAATCAAAAACTACACAAGAAAGCCCTGAAATTAGTATTTCCATCACCAGAGAAAAAACCCAGTACCTTCTGCTCGATTACATATACAGGCAAAATAACAACAAAAATTGCCAAACACATAAAAAAGAAAGGAATAACACCAGCTTTCCGAACAAATAACAACCTAGGCAAATATATTAAAAATAACAAGAGCCAAAATAAAAAACACTTAAATAGTGGTGTTGTACAAACTTCAATGTGGCGACTGCCCAAAAACTTACATCGGTCAAACTGGTAGAAACTTTGATAAACGAATAGCAGAACATAAAAGGGCTTTCAAGAATAGAAAAACAGATTCGACATACGCACTTCACCTTCTAGATCATAATCATTCTTTTAATGACAAATTTAAAATTCTTCACATTCAAAATAAAGGCCTTAAGCTATCTTTGTTAGAATCTATGGAAATCAACAAATTAAAAAACACAGATATAATTCTGAATGACCAACTTGAGACAAACAGTTCTCCCCTCCTCAACCTATTTCATTAGAGACTATAAATTTGTAAACCCAAGCCAAAATAGATCACTTGAGAAAGGCAATCAGCTGAAACAGCTGTAATGATATGATTTAAAATAAAATTTTGTGGAAGTTTGAAAACAAAAGTTTTCAGTGTTTTATTGTTACATTTTCTGAATTATTAATTAATTGTCAAGGTTAATTTTATTTAAAAGAAAACTAAAATATGACAATTGGCTGATCCATAAAACTTATATTTATTTATAAACGTTTTAAATTGACATGAAAACAAGTCTTATTGTATTAAGGGTGAATTTTTATTTAGAAACATTTAACAAATTAACAAAACTACTTTGCTTCATTGCTAACAATTAGTTTTTCAAATTATTAAAAAAACCTTACTTGCTTATTTGTTACCTTACATTTTTGAATATAAAACACATTGTCCCCCCAAAAACCAAAACTCATCGAATTAAGCCAAACTGCCGGGTTTTGTTACCCCTCGCTCTGTTCTACCGACATACCCACTAACTTCTCGTTGTCAAACTCGTCTCTCCGTACTAGATTTTAATCGAAGTAAATCCTTATTTAAATTAAAACACGTTTAAAACCAGGTCCAACTCGATAGCTACGCAGTTAATATTTTCCCCAGATCACTTGGTAAGCAAACTTCAGGTCTCTGTGGCCTATTAGCCAGGGGTTTTTATGTAAACAAACTTCAGATCACTGGTATGTAACAGCTAGGGCGTCTCAAATCAATTCTTATTAATTTTTATAATACATATTTAAATATTCGATACTTAAAGGAAAAAGATCAGGCTACATCTCAAAGTTTGTTGTAGAAGAACACTGGACTTTATAGTTTTCTGGTGTATTCTGATCTCGATCTATATATTTTCTTCCCAAAAGTTATCAACATTTGATATTTTGTCTATCCCCATTCTTCTCCCTGGCTATGTCAATTTTTTTTTTCAATTGCAGTTCAATTATCAGAATTTTATAGATTTTATTTAACGTGTTTGGCACTTTTATTTCTACATATTTCACTTTTTGTATGTCTGGTATGCCTGAATAGTAGAAGTAATGCCGCGCAATCTGCATATTTCCTGTTTTAGTTTTTTTTTTGTTCAGAGGTGCCTAAAATTGTTACAGTATAATTTGCCATTTCCTTTGTTAGTTATATTTCTTTTCCTGTTGTCAATGACACAATATTTAATATGTTCTCCTTTATTTTACTTTTATTTCGCTGGATAAAAAGGTTAACAAAGAAATGAAGTTTTATAGAATTTTTTTTTGAATGATGAATTTTTTTAAATGATTTTGAAGATGAGTGTTTTTCATAAAAAGAAAGTACATTTACTTCTAAAGTATGCTAATAGATATTGTTTATTATAAATCAGCTTACGTAAAGCTGCGGTGGTCGAGGGGTTAAGGAGATCTATTTCAAATCCATAGGTACAGAAAAGTCTTTTTAATATCAGTTTTTACAGGGCTTTCAAGAACCTTATCCAACAATGGAAGAACGAAATCGAGTCACATCCAAGTTTTAAAATGTTGCCATCTATAAAGCTGTGCCATTCTTTAGATATAGGAGACATTTTATCTGTTTTAGTCGACAATATTAAAGCAGTGGTTTTATTATTCAACATCATGGTAAGTGCATTTATATTTGGTTTTAGACCATGTCAAATAGAGATCTAGGGAATTAACGGTTACTCGATCGAAATGCATGTCCAATAATAAATTAAATCATTAAGATATGATAATAAAATTCTGATTTTATCAATTAGTTCGGTAAAAAAGTAGAAATTTACATTATCACTATTAATTATTCTTATATTAGATACGCATCCCTCGACACTTGACGGAAATGTTGTTCTCTTCCTCTATTCGCTCTCGCTCTCTATACCCTTACCTCTCTCTACGCTCTCACCTCTCTACTCTCTATTGGTCCATCTCTCTTTTCTCCCCCTATCACTTCTTCCACCCGTATCTTCTCTCTCCCCTCTCTCTTCCCTTTCACCTCTTTCGGTTCTCCCTTCTCTTCAAGCTCTGCTTTCCGCTCAACCTAATCTCTCCCCTTCCCCCTTCCACTTTACTCTTTCTTCCCCCTTTATCTTTCCCCCGCTCTTCCTTTTTCCTATTATTATCTTTCCACCCCTCTTAACACTCTCTTTTGCAACCCACTGTTGCTCCCCTTTTGCCTCACTCCCCTACCTTTCTTCTCTCTATTTTCTCTTGTCTTTTCTCCTCTCTACCCTCTTTAATATTTGCTCCTTTTCTCTCTCCCTCTTTTATCCTCTCCCTATTTGCTCGTTTTTCTCTATTTTGTTCTCTCCTCTCTATCTCTCTATTCAATTTCCACTTTTCTCTACTCCATCTGTTATCCTCTTCCTCGTGTCTACTTTCTCCCTAATCACACAGTTCCACCCTTCTTCTACCTTTCTCACTCTTTCTCTTCTCTCTTTTCTCTTACTGTCTTTTCCTCTCTCTGTCTTCGGTATACATCAATTTTCTATCCCTACAACGCTCCATACGAAACTTTCTTTGCTCGAACACCTCACCACCCTCTACTCATTATTCTCCCTACGTTCTTCTTTCACGCCTCTAATCTCGCTCCTTTTCCCTCTCCCCTTATCACCCTTTATTCTTCACCCTCTTTCTTCACTTTCTTTCTCCCTTCTCACTCTCTTGTAACCTCCACTCTCCTTCCTTTTCTTACTCTACCCATTCTTTTCTATTCTCTTCCTCCTGCTTCTCCACCTCCTTAAAGCTCTCCCATCCATCCTAACCCTGTATCCTCTCTTCTCACTTACTTATCTCACGTTTCTCTTGTCAAATCCCTCTCCTATATCTCTTCCCCCTCTTTTTGTCTCTCCATTCTTTTTCTCTCTCCCTTTTGTTTCTATTATCGTCTTCATTATATATCTATGTATTATTCCTATGACGCTCTATGCGAAATTTCCTTTGTTCTATCATCGCATTACTCTCTACTTTCTCTTCGCACTACTTTCTTCTTTCAGTCCTCTCCAATATCCCTTCTCTCTGATTTGTATTATTGCCTTCACTGTACGTCCATTTTCTATTTCTACGACGCTCAATCGATTCTTCCTTTGTTTGAAACAGTGTCAAGAAGTAACTTTTTCTGTCAACTCTTTCAGAACGCGTAGCGTTGCAAGGAACCCGCAGTTTCGTTTCGAATATAGAGGGACTCTCACTTTCACCCATCCCATCGTGGTTGTCATTTGCAGTGTCATCAATATTGGCATGGATACTATCATCCATAACTCAGAAAACGAGTTATTCACTCGTTCTTTCTTATCTTGACTCAGGACTAGCAATTGCGGAATTCTGATACCACATTAACAGGGAATGTGGTAAATTTCTGGATTGGAAAACAATTATTTTGGGTTGTTGGGCTATTTTAGACTCTTGTAATGCCTATCCATTTCGGATGTTGGTGACCATCATGGCATCGTATTTGCAACTGCTGCTCTGAAAAGATTTGTGGTTGTTGTGTTGAACCACGTACATAGATTTTTCAGCCAGGAAATCCTTTGCTTCTTAGTCCTCGTTTTCCTTCTACTTTTCCTTGAAGAATTAAATTTTAGACTTACTTGGGACGTGTCAGTTCTGAGCTGACAGAAGATGATAAGATGAAACTAACTATGCCTTTTAATTCTCGTCGAATTAAATATAATAATGCTTGACATTGCGTTTAATTCTTTTTTACTTTATAAATCATTTGACGTTATCTCCCTGAAATATTGAGGGTCACATATATGTGCAGTATGGTTAAGGTTTGTTATAACTCGTCTATTTGCACTAGATTATTGATTCGAGTTTTTCTATTTATAAATTATAATCTCTTTACTTTTCTCTATTTCTATGGTCCACTGGATCGTCGGATTTTTGTAAGTTTACATCCTCATTTTTACCTCTTAGGGTTAGCTTTATTACTTTACTGTTCGAACCAATAATAATATAAATAAACTAGTTGTTGCTGTTCTATGTTTCTACATTTATTCTATAAATGACATTTTATATAGAATGTCAAAATATTTTTATTTCATTTTATTTTTCTCTCCTATTTTTACTTTTTGTTGTTAAAACATTTTTTTTTGCATATTTTAGACTTCTAAAGCACCAGAAAAGATGATCGACAAATCGGACCCTCGCTTAATATGCCCAACGGCTCTGAAATTCGCTAAATTGTAAGTTCATTCAAAAATTCCTACCTTAAACATTAATTTTATACATTTATTGTTTGTAGTAACGACTCAAAGGCTGTGAAGAAATTTACATTAAAATCGCCGGATGAATTACGTCAGACTAGATCGGCAAGTCCAGATTCGCCGGGAATTGAAACGGATTCAGACATTTATATGAATAATGAGGAGTGCGAACCAGACAACATTAGTCCAGATAGTCAAACTTTCAGAACATGCTTCGAAGGTATGGACCATGGAGAAAATGCAGATTATTGCTGTACATATTCTCAGGTAAGACACTTATACGTTGTTTCTCATCATAAAAATTTAATATTTTTGCAAAAATCAAATGTCTTTGTGTAGATTGTGCTGGAAATAAGTTGTTCATTTCAAGTAATTAAAAGTAACCAATAGTTTATCTTTAAAGTTATATCAAGGATTTTATCCCACTATTTTAATAGTCCTACAGAAATGAATGATAATTTCTTGTGCACGTGTGTGTCACTCGTTTCTTCTTTGTTTTTAATTAAATATATATTTTTTTAATAATATAATGTTTTTTTTAGTTGCCATTACTTAGTTTTGAAATGCCATTTGAAGATGCATTTCCCCATTTATCGGATAATATTTTAGGAAAGTTGGGATTACACGAAACTAGTCCAAAGTAAGTACTGTTTAAAACACTACCATATCACGTGCCCCGAAACCACACTTTCTCATTGTCTCCCAACGGAGCAAAGCTATTCGTAATCAAAAATAACAGGAAAATAATATCCATGAATTGTTTTTGCGTGATATTCACGGTTGCTGTGTCATTTTATAACGTACGTCGTACAAATTATGTTTCAGAAAAAAAAACTAAAAAAAAAAATTTTGTAATAGAAACATTTTCTAAAATCCAAATAACAATTTTTTTACTAAAACTTTTAGACCAGAAACTTTTTGTTAGAATTTCATCGAGATCGGTTGATTTAAAGGATATAATGCAAATACCTTTTCACTTAGTATGTATGATAGCGCCTTAAGGATGTAAAATTTTACATCTCTTATACCTAACAGATACCACAGACATGATTTTATGTAGTATGTATGATTGACGTTCGAGTAAGTACTTAGCCTCACCGCCTGATGGCGCCACTATCACGAGAGAAATTTACTATCGTCATTAACGGTCACAGGACTCTACAATGTCGAATTATTGGACTGATTCGACACTAAATTGCAGACTAATTCGACACTAAATCGCCCATTGGGCGACCTTTTTTCATGACAACGACCTACCGGCTCATACCTCCGCCACGGCAAATTGGTTGAATTGGGCTACGAATTGCTATCGTATTCTCCAGATTTGGTTCCGTGCGACTATTTTTTTTTGTTTCCAAACTTAAAAAAGTCACTCGCTGGGCAGAAATCTGAATTGATCGAACACTTCATTGCCGGCATGGGGGCTTACTTGGAAGATTTCGAGAAAACGTATTTTTCAGACGAGTTAAAGAAGTTAGAGCAAAGCTGGGTCAAGTGTGTCGAGGTAAAAGGAAACTATGTTGAGAACATACATCAGCACTTTCTAAAATTTTCTTTTTCGTTCTGTAGGCTAATAATAAGTACTTATCGGACCGCTCTCGAATACTATACTCATCATCAATGAGTACAGTCTAAAACAAGAACAAGTATGTTTTCCAATTAGTATAGAGTATTTACTAAGTTTCCATGATATGAGAATAATTAAATTACTGATTGACTAGTTGAAAAAAAATATTGCCATTTAAATTCAACAGTGATAGATATAAAAAAAAATCAAAATATCATGCTAAAAAAATCTGTATAACGAACCTGCTTCCAAGCCATATTCGCTTCACACACAGACTGTTGCTCCCCTTGTTCTGCTCTAAAGTTGGATTTATGCTTCTTTTTTTACCTAAATACTAACTCTAGATCTTGAGTTTCTATCCGTTTTAGTCCTCTCACTTGATTATGATGTTCTAGTAGTTATGGAACCTCAACGTTGTTGTGTAGATGTAATCAAACTTAATTTTGTGGGTTGAAACTAAAAAGAACTTTATTTTGTAGGGTGAAACTTACAAAAGAAGAGACTGAAGAGATTTTTACCGCATTAGCCATACAAGTTAGTTTAGATTCGAAAGATATTAGAGATCGATTGCAAAAACATAAGGACTTCTGTTCTAAGAAGTATAAAAAGTACCAATATTTACTCAAAGACATTTCCTTACGTTTAAGAGAACATAACTGTATCGGAGCTATGGATTCTATTAGACCAGTATTTATAATGTTGGAGGATTTAAGATTGATGACTAAGGTAAATTAAATTTTGGACAATATATTTTATAGCAGGTTAAGTTTTTAAAAACTATAACTAGATTGCGCAATTTGTTTTATTTGATATAAGGTGGTAATAATTCAAAAGGGAATACAACAAAATCAAAGTAAGAACTACAATTTATCATATAGCGCCATGAAGACGCCGTAGAATCTCTTATTTTTCGGGGTAATTTACGAGGTAATTTAGGAGGACTTAAAGTACATTCATTCAGCAAAGTCCCAACTGTAAACAAACGCACGTGTTGATATTCGCCCTCTCATTCGTCAGACGGCTTAAATTATTCCTAGCCACTTTTTTACAGGTCCAAACTTGTCAGTCTGTTTAATTCACATGTACAGTTTGGTTTTACAGGTCATGTGTGTTATGTGTTAATAGTTATTGTTAAGTTATTTACTGGTCGTGGTATTTTTTAGAGTTTAGTTTAAGTGTTTAGTAAGTTTTATAGTGTCTAGTGAACTTTTAGTATCCAAAAACAAAGTATTTGTTAATAAAAAGTAAAAATAGCTTGTGGTAATCACTTTAATAAAGGTAAGAGAAACCAATATTTTAATTTATTGATGTTTCGAAAAGTTTTATTTCCTTTTTAGTCCATTTATTCACGGTTTTTGCTGTAAATAAGAACCGCTTGGATTGACATGAAATTTGGCATATATATAGCTAACGGCAAAGAAAAAAGTGATATTGTGCCGATGTGTGCTTATGACATGGGGGTGAGTTTCACCCCTTCTCGGGTGTGAAAAACATGCGTTCAAAATAAGTCCAGAATTGAATAAACTGACTAATTCTAAGCAACTTTTATTTTATACAGTTTTTGCACAGTCAATACTTATCGAGTTATTTGCGAGTGAATATGATAATTTTTTAATAAAAAACCACGTTTTTGGACGGTTTTCCGCAAATAGCTCAAAAAGTAGTTTTATCGAAAAATATATTCTTAGCAAAAATATAGCTTATAAAAAAGATGTACTTACACCTATATGAAGTCTGTAGACTCAGTAAAAGCAAAGTTGCAGCTAATGAAAAGTAATTCAAATTTCAAATCGAATATTTTAACGAGAAATATCAGAAAAATGACGCACTTTTTGGGGAAAACTGGCTGTCGGGGAAAGTGCTTGTTTTTTTTACGTTGAAATATGACTCAGTGAAAAAACTCTATAGAACAATGGTTGCTTAGAATTAGTCAGTTTATCCAATTCCTGACTTATTTTGAAAGTATGTTTTTTCACCCCCAAGAATGGGTGAAACTCACCCCTAGGACAAAAACACATCGGCGCAATATAACTTTTTTTATTTAACAAGTTAGCTATGTGTATGCCAAATGTCATGTCAATCCAAGCTGTTCTTTGGGGAGGTTTTATCGTGAGTGAAGGGAATATTTCTGGACTTGAAAAAGTATACAGAATGCAGTTTCATAACTTTACCGATATTTTCTATGATGCTGGTTTTATTACAATACATATTTTTCCCTATGCTATTTTGACATTCTCTCAATCAACTGAGTACATTAAGTTATTGAAAATAAATAGAATAACAAAAATGTCCAGCACTGATACAGCCGATAAACTCCTTGATATTGATTTAACCTCATCTCCTCTAAAAGAAGACCAGTAAAGGGACATTTTGACGTTAAAACGAAGGAAATGATTATAAATATATTTAAACGGAAATGCAGGAGAACCCTACAATGTCGAAAAGTGCGATTTCTATTAGAGTAGCAGATAAAACATGCACTGATATTGTTTCTCCATTATTTATTTTAGAGTGCGCATTTTCACTTTATATATTGATACTTTTTATCTATTGTATGCGTGTGTAGTCGTCGTGTACGCAATGTGGTTCATGAATATGAAATTACGGGAATATTGTCGACACCAAAATCAGTTGAGCATCGTAAAAGTATTGTTAACTTGCTGGATGAATTTGACAGAGAAGCAGTAAGAAGAATAATCCATCAATTCTTTTCTCAAAATGAAATACCCAGAATAGACAAAGTTCTGAGGGTTGTTAATGAAGATCCGGTTTTGCCTAACTTCAAAAGAACTACGTTTTTTAAATTATTGAAAGAAATAAATTTTAAGTTACAACATCGTCAGCGAAACAGCATTTTGATGGACAGGGACGAAATTGTCTTTGAAGACGAGAATTTCTGTTAAAAATTAAGTCATACAGAAATAAAAACCGCAAAATTTACTACTTAGACGAGACTTGGCTAAACGCTGGTCACACTAAATCTAAAGTATGGGTCGACAATTCGGGAATGTCTTATAAGCAAGCGTTTTTAGATGGACTTTCTACGGGGTTTAAAAATCCTACAGGTAAATGTTAATGTGCTTTTTCACTTCAAGTAAATTTTAAAATAATAAAATTTTCAGGAAAAGGAAAAATACTAATAATCTGTCATCTGGCAGTGAAGATGGGTTTGTTCCAGAAGGGCTGTGGGTATTTGAATAAAAAAAGTGAGGAATACCATGAAGAGATGGACGGGAAATCTTTCGAAAATTGGTTCAAAAATATACTGCCCCGATTAGAAGACAACTCCATCATCGTATTGGACAACGCGTCTTATCATTCCAGAAAATTGGAAAAAATTCCAACTGCTGCTTCTAGAAAAGCTGACATCCAAGCGTGGCTAAGATAAAAAATATAGGGTTTGGGGACTCCATGTTAAAAGTGCAACTGCTGGATATCGTTAAGGAACATAAGGGACAATAATAATGAATATATCATTGATGAGATGGCAAAAAGCCAAAACAAAGTAGTGTTAAGGCTGCTCCCATACCATTGTGAGCTCAATCCGATTAAGCTCATCTGGGCAGAAGTAAAAAATTATGTAGCAGCCAAAAACACTACTTTTAAATTTGCAGATATGAAAAATATTTTTTATGATGCAATTAATAATATTAACCCAACTACGTGGCAGAAATGTGTGCAACAAGTTCAACAAAAAGTCGAGTCCAAAATGTGGAAGTTGGACAATATAATAGAGAACCATATTGAACCTATAATAATAAATCCAGACGAAGACAGCAGCACATGTAGCTCCTCAAACTCTGAGTAATTTAAATGGTATGTTTTTATGCTTTGATAAACTTATGGTGATGCTACTTTATTGAAAATTTTCACTTTGTTATGTATCTCTCAATTAATGAATATTTTATTTTAGCACATTTTTTAATTCTTACACTGATAGTTTCAAAAGTAAATATTTTTAAAAACGTAGGAGACACCTCAGTACGGCGCTGTTTGGTTTTCATGTGCGTTTGTTTACAGTTGGGAATTTGTAAAATGAATGTAGTTTAGGTAGTCCATAACGGAGATGTAAAAATTCTAAAAGATATGCATTTTATAGCATTCTAATCTGTACTAGTACCTTAACTTTCTGTTTTAAAGAAATCAGAAAAATATACAGGTTAGTAGTAGTATGTATTTACATTTAGTATGAATTACTTTTGTGTGTGTGGGTAATCGTCAAAAAAATGAAAGGATTATTCAAAGGCTTTTCTATACGTGTTTTTTTTTTCGGTGGATGGCTATTTTCCAATATAGTAGATGAATCAGTTTAAGTACTTACAAATATATTGCCTAATTTGTAGGTAACCGAAGTTAACCTAAATTGGTTGCACATTTCGACGTGTTGGTATTATTGTTAATTTATGTATACTTTTAGGACTTATTGCAATCGGTTGGGCAACTAGGTGTGCTGAACTGTGAACACCGCATGACGAAATGTTGGAATTTGGTTACCAATTACATGGCCATAATAAAACAAGATGCAGATACTTCTAGAGACCATTACTCACCAAACAGGTAATATAAATAAAAAATAGATAGATTCCACTTCTTCTTCTTCAGATGCAAATCCACTAATGGATCACATTTTCCATTAATTCTCTATTTCTTGCAATATGTATCAGATATTGTATGTCGTTAATCCCTGTCCATTGCCTTATGTTTCGGAGCCAGGACATTTTCTTGCGTCCCATTCCTCTCTTGCCTTCAATTTTACCCTCGATTATAAGTTGGAGGAACTGGTATTTTTCATTTCGCATGAGTGACCTAGATCGCCGTTTTCCTTTTCTTGATGGTTTCGAAAAGTTGCCGTTCTTGGTTTATTCTTTTAAGGACATCTATATTTGTGATTTTCGCTGTCCATGGTATTTTTAGGAATACGGCGATAAAGCCACATTTCGAAAGCTTCTAATCTGTTTATATCCCTTGTTTTGAGTGTCCAGCCCTCTACGCCATATAGCAGCACTGACCATACGTAGCACTTAGTAAACCTTAGTCTCAGTTGAAGATCAAACTCTGAACAAGTCAGTACTTTCTTGAATTTTACGAAAGCTTGTCGAGCTTGCTCAATGCGACATTTTACTTCCCTGTCCGATGCCCAGTCTTCAAAAAGCCACGATCCCAGGTATTTAAATTTACTCACTCTTTCAATAGACTTAGTATTCAGTGTTATGGTGGAGTTTTCAAGTGCATCTAAGTTTCTGGAGATGATCATAAATTTGGTCTTTTTGGTATTAATCTCTAATCCCATTCGCTTACTGTATTCTCCGATTATAGTGACAAGTTGTTGAAGATCGACTATGTTGTCACAAATTAAGACACCATCATCAGCATATCGTATGTTTTTGATCAATACTCCATTCACCTGGATTCCTCATCTCTGCATCCTCCAAAGACTCTTGCAATATGGCTTCCGAATAAATGTTAAATAAAAGAGGGGAAAGCACACATCCCTGTCGAACGCCTCTTCTTATATTATGTATGGGTTTGGATATAGAATTGTCTATTTTAACTGTGCCGTTTGATGTCAGTACAAGTTTTCAATGCATCTTATGTCTTTTTGGTCTATATCAACTTTCTTGAGAATCTGCATTAACTTGTGGTGTTGGACACGATCAAACGCTTTTTGGTAATCTAAAAAGCATAAGAACACATCCTTCCTCTGATCGTAACAATTTTGGACCAGCACCTGTGTTGCTACTATTGCTTCTCGTGCTTCACTGATTGATCGTGATTGTGATCATTGATTGTGATCGTGATTCACTCATTGTAAGAGTCCACTTACAATTTGCAAAAATATAATTTGAGACTATATAAATAGTTTATAAACTATATCTACGACTGCAGTAGGCTATCAAGTTTTTTATTAAAAGGTTTAATGTTTTTAGTGAGTTGAAGAGTAATTAATTTGTTATCAATATCTCAAGTGGACGATACGTTTAAGTGTATAATATGTAAATAATATATGGTAATATTGTATTTGATAACAGTGCAATGACATTGAAGACAAAAATTTCACCCATTTTTTTTTTGTTTTTTTTTTACAGGTCTCAATTATTAGACGAAATGAGCAACTCAGATACCTCTGGAGTCCATGAAAAATACAAGAGCATAGACAAACGCACCAAGAAATTCCTTTTAGGCAGAGGTATGTTATGGCATTTTTTGTTTTAAATATTTTAGTTTGTTACTCTATAAAAAGTGAACCTTCAGTAAAATTCCGAAGAAGTTCAACTGGCTACTCTAAATAAGATCTGCACGAATCTGTTATTGTGATATTATGAAAAGTTGAAAACATGTTGATAACAGTGTATAAATGGCATTGGAAGTGTTTTGAAGTTTGAATGATTTATAATATTTTAACGTTTTTAACGTTTGTAGCATTATTCCTGGAATTTTTTAATTACCACTCGTACGTTTTATGTATGTGTGTACACATTTCTTGTACACATTAAGCTTTGCAGATGACCAAGTGGTAGCGGATCAAGATGAACGGATCAGAAGAAGATCTGTGCTATATGTTCCGAAAATTAGAAAAGGAATACACAGAAAATGGACTGAAAATAAACCTAGAAAAGACCGACTTTAACAACAGAGCAAGAACCAGTGAGAAACTTGGAAATGGACGATGATAAAATTTGAAAAATTCAAATATTTAGGATTCATACTCTCAAAAAATGGAACCACCGATCAAGAGATAACCAGCAGATTAGCACAGACAAGAACATGTATTAAACAACTGAACGGGGTACTGTGGGATAGACAGATTACCAGAAATACAAAGAAGAGAATTTATAACACCTTTGTACGCAGTATAATGACCTATGGAGCAGTTGGGTAATAAATAAACGAAACAGGTCCAAAATCATAGCAACTGAAATGGAGTTCATGAGAAGCAGTTTATGCAGAGTGACAAAAATATATCGCATCAGAAATAAGGAGATAAAACGAAGAAATGCAGTAGAACAAGATATACTCAGCTACATCGAAGAAAAACGTTTAATTTGGAGCCCAATAAGAAGGAGGAAAAGAGGTAGACCCCGAAGATCATGGAGGGATGAAGTGGACGAGGCCATGGAAAGACGAGACCTTAGAGATGAGAATGGCAGAACAGAAAGGAGTGGAGACGTTGGCTGAAAGAAGGAAGGCGGCGACAGCTGTAAAAATCCTTATATAGATAGATATACGTTTTATGTATTTTAATACAGATATCAAAATCATTTTACTAGTAATGTTAATTAATTATCTCCTCTGTAAATTATTTCTCTTTTGTTTTAGAAGCTGCATGTCCAAACTAGCACACTGCATATCATGGATATCGTTTTTCGCGCTACTTTTTCTTATTGGAGTTGTGTACGTTCACTGCCGATGTAAACTGACCACGAAGGACAAGATCTGTCCGTTGGATAATTTCATAGGAATGGTTACCGAGATAATTGGCCAACCACCGTTTTGAATACATTAGTTTTTTAGTTTCTTCCATAATTTTCTATTTTTGTTTGGTTTTTTTAAAGTTTAAATTATAGTCTTTATCTGAAGTGCCATAAAAGAATAAAAGTTAGTTTTTCTTTACTTCTCGTGTTTTTTTAATCACCTCTGTTGTAATAACTTTAATTGAAAAATGTCAAAATTTATCTACCGCCTTTATCTGACAGTTTTAGACCTCCCAATTTGAGGTTAAACATATTATCTTAAATACATACGAAATTGACATTTATTAATAATTAGTTTTTTTTATTATATTTTTTAAGTTTATGTACATAATATAGTATTAAAAACTTTGTTTCTAAAAATTCATCATTATTTATCTTTTCAACCCCAAAACGGAAAAGAAAGGAAAAATCTGGTAGAAAAAATTTTTCATGTGGAAGAGCATGTAATTAAAAACAATAATAGTCAAAGTTATGATATAATAGCTAAAGTCATAAGGCAGGCTGCAGTTAGCTTGAAGCCTTATGAAATTATTATTATTATTATACATAAGCGAGGGCAGAGGAACTAAGTGTCTATTATGCCCAAAAACAAGAAATTTCATTAATATCCTACTAGTAAATAACAAAATTACAAATAAAAGAAGTGAAATTACAATTTTTTGTTTAAAAGAAAAACAATATTTTAACTATAATATAAAACGGTCAAGTCTGTTTTTGAACGAGTTGGTAGAGGGAGCAGAGACAATGTTATCGTTCAGGTTATTCCAGCACTCAAAAACTCTATTTGGAAGAAAGTTCTGTCTTGATCTTGTAGAAAAATTTTCTTTCTTTAGTTTATACTGATGACCTCTGAGGCGTTCATCTTGATTTATGATAAATAGTTCATCGAGGTTTCCAAAAATGGAATTTTATTATTTTAAATGTTGTAATTAAGTCTCCACGTTGTCGGCGAAGTTCAAAAGAAGTTAGGTTAGCCATACTAAGTCTTTCTATATAAGAAGGTCTTCTCGGTCCCAAAGAAATTCGAGTGGCTTTTCTTTGAACATTTTCCAACAAAGTCTTGTCTCGAACCAGATCAGGATACCACGTTGGTCCAGCGTATTCAAGTATGGTCTTACGCACAGAGTGTAAAGTTTACAGATTGATTGCATTGAAACTCTCGAAAAACGCCTCGAATAAGATACAGTCTGGAGTTTGCACTGTTTACAAATAGAGGTAATATGTCGGACCAAGTTAAAATATCATTTAAGGTAAATTATTTAAATTCCATCCATCCATCTTTTTCTTTTCTCTAATTTATATCTAATCTTCGGAAATCTATAAAAACTACACTCACTATTTTTGCTATTATTAGCACAATTAAATACACAACATGTATTTGAACCCTTTTTGGATCAAATTTATGCGTAAAAACATAGGTCCAATTTTGTCATATTTCGCCGCTACGCACGCTGGCATCGTTCCAAGGTACACCTACCATGGTTACGCTCGGAGCGAATATGATTTATCTGTCTAATTCTTGAAAGCTTTGAAGTTGCCGTTTTTAAACTAAAATGACCCTCAGGAAGGCCACATGCCCAATACCAAAACGCATATAGGGATAGAAGTCCAAGAAAGGAACAGGGCAAATACATTTTGTAACTGAGCAAATGTAGAATACTCTACACTTATCAGTTTATAGACCAAGAGTAGATAGACAATTCTTTAGAAAATTTGTAAAAAATATTTGTTTAATCTTTGTGTCTATCCAGGTAAGATACACAGTCTCCACAGACTACGCTTGAAGAATCGTTGAATCGTTTCCAACAATGTGATACTTTGAATGTTTTTGCTCCAGAAAAAGTACATACGTACTATTTTAAAACTACACATTTTCTTAAATAATTTATTAATCCGAAATACGCCACAGCTACATACAAAGAAATCAAAGGAAGATAAGAAATACAAAAATCGTTACGAATTTACAGCGATTAAAAAAGCTTGCCATGAGTTTTCTCAGATTATTTGTGCGAAGCAAAAACTGAGAAATGGTTGGAGGAATCAGTGCATTGTACGCAGAATTAGAAATAGATTCCATTTTTTTATGTATCAGGCGATACTTCCATTTATTTTTTGCGGTTTAATAAAAAATAATTAAAACTCTGAAGGACCGCCCTCAAATGTCGAAATAAGAGATTATTTACTGTTTTGAATAAAACTTGAGGTTGCTAGTTAAATGATATTAGAATAATAATGAAGAAAACATGCAATATTTTGACTGTAAATACATTAGCGAAAAATAGCAACTATCAATTGTGAATAAATTATGATAATTAACTAGCCTTACTCCTTATTGTTGTCTGCACAAAGAATGTAGACTTACCTTTTGGTATATTGATGTATTCGTAGCCTACGTGTAGCTTTTATCTATCGTCGCGACGCAATCCGAGGCACAAAACAAGAGACGTCCTATGCTTACTGTCCGCTGTCTACATAATGAAGTGTCGTCTTGAGATGGTCAGAAGGAACCCTCTAACCGTAAGGTGGTTTATGGACAAGCGCATCCCATAAATTAACCCTATAGTAGGGCGCTTCTGAATAGCGACAATCCAATTCAATGGTCACAGTGTAACATGATACTTTACACGTTTTGTGTGTATTATCGACACAAAAATAACAAAGAAGTCAAATTCTCCGTACTTAAAACATAATAAATGAGATAGCCAGTTTAAAAAATGCGATTTTACGAAATAACAGGAAGTAATATATTTTAGAGCAAAGTCGTTAGAATATACTATTAAATTAGACCCATGGACGTATAAATAAAGATCTTTATTTATACGTCCATGAATTAGAACCTATTATAGTACAGTAAAAGAAGAATATTAAATGTAAAAATATGAAAATAAATGCTTTATAATTTCCCAAACATTTACAAACACACAATTCCTTCATTTCGAATGGCGCTACAGCCCAAAATAAACGTGGCCGTCGTGGCCTCCTGTAGTACCTTTTAAGGGGGTATGTTCACGCCGCAGTTAAAGTGAGTGGCATTCAAATAAACCAACATTTAACAATTATTTGAGTAGATGGCAGCACGTGCATAATATTTTAATCCATATAATAGATTAAAAATACACGTCTAAAGTTTTTTACAATCTGTAGGTAGAGGTCTTCCCAACATACACTCAATTGCACGCTTACTATTTCAGTAGCACTTTGTGGATTATTCTCTCTTATTTTCTTTACTCAACGCGGTGAATATTTCACTTCACACGCGTAAATTGACGAAGACTAATGTATTTTTATGTTTGCGACACTACTACCTAAGAACAAAAATGCCACTACTGTAGCAAATGTATTTCTACAGTATGTAGCCACATTTTGTGGCAAATTGTGAATATGTTCGCGGATTTTGTAGATTGCCAGAAAATATAATAATCGTCATCATATTTGGCTCGACAATCCTCTGTGGATCCTGGTCTGCTCTAAGATTCGTCGACATTCTGTTCGATTGCTGGCAACGTGTTGCCATCTTCTGATCTCTATTATCCCTAAATCGGTCTCAACTACATCTAACCACCTAATTCGCAGTCGGCCTTTCCTTCTTCTTCCTATAGGTGTTAATTATACTTTTTGCGCTACTCACTTTGATTGTTTATAGCTTCAAATATTTTGCGGAGTATCTTACGTTCGAATATTCCCAAAAGACTTTAATTTTTCTGCGTTAGAGTCCACGTTTCCGCCCCATATTATGAAGACCGGCCTCAGCAGTGTTTAATACATAATAATTTTAGTTTTTTTTTGTATATTTTGTGAATTGTTCTTGGAATTTATAGTATGCTCTGTTTTTAAGGTTTATTCGTCTATTCATTTGTTCGCTTGTTTTTCCGATAGTAGTGAAGCTGCCAACACGTTCAAAGATATGACTTCCAAAGACTGGTTTCTCGTTCTTCATTTGCTGGTTTTGTCTTCGTTGATGAATAGACCGACCTGTTTTGCCGCCGTTTCCAATTCTAAGAAATATTTCTCAGCATCTCGCTTGCTATACCCTATTTATGACAATGCCATCAACGTATGCTAAGATTTTTTCGATCTAGTACCGCCGTCTCCAATTCGTGTGTCTCGTACTGCCTTTTCCAAGGCGGCAAGTCAGAGCATCCCATTGTCTGCGTCCATCCTTTATGTCAAAGGATCGAGAATTTTCTCCCTGTGCCTAATACTGAGTTTTAAATAAGATATTGTCATTCTCGTTAATCGAATGTTTTTCAGTTATACCAAGCTCACGCATTGATTGGTATAGTACTGTTCTCTTGACACATCGTATGCGACCTTGAAGTCGACGAATAGATGATTGGTTTCAACGTTAAATTCTGTTTCCTCGATGATTAAATTCTGTCTTACTGAATGAATCTGTTTAATAATTATTGATTTTTTGGAGTAAATTCGGTAAATCCTGATATTTTCCAACTGTCCATACATTTGCTAGTATTTTGTAAGCAGTTGTTAACAGGGTAACTAGTTGTCACCTTGGAGCTGATTGCCTTTTTGATGTAACGGGCATATCACGTTGAGACCATGGGCATGGTCTCATTTTGTCAGACAAGAAGTAAAAGTTTCGTCGGCACCATTCTTGTAGAGCTCAATTCAAATTTGATCAGTTCGTGGTGATTTATTATTTTTATGTTTTTAATGGCTTGGGTAACCTCTTCAGTGATAGGTGGTCTTTCTGTCTCTCTAATAATAGTGAAGCTTTACTGGCATTAGAAAGCTAAAGTAATGGTAAACACAGTGGTGTAAAAAAAGATCATTGGATGGAACCTGACTAGCCTGAGCGATGACCGGCATATCCTGCAAATTTCTTGAAGTGACAGTCCCTAACAAAGAACTAAAAAACGTATACTGCATAATACAAAATACCCAAGTTCCTTGTTTATTTATGCAGGTAAGATTTATGGAGGACGGAGGAAACAACAGAAGAAGAAATGCATAACGAGGAGGAAACGGTACACGAAGAAGAAGCAGATGAAGTAGACATTGAAAT